TTTTTTTTTTTTTTTTTGTGAGGCAGGGTCCAAAATGCCCAGGCTGGCCTCAAACTTGTGATTCTTCTGCCTCAGCCTCTAAGATGGGATTACAGACAGGTATGCACCGTTCTATCCCAGTCTTTAAACACAACCCTCTTTTTCCTAAGCAGACCAGAATACTGGAATACTGATTCCCAATTCGCTATGGCAATAGAGCAATGACTTAGTCTCCCTTTACAGCTGGCTGGTTGGCTGATGTATATATGTATGTATGTGTGTATTTATGTATTGTGGTACTAGGGATTGAACCCAGGGCCTTTACACTGAGCTATGTATCCCAGCCCATATTTTATTTTTAGCCAGGGTCTTGCTAAGTCACTAAATTGCCCAGGCTGGGCTCAAACTTGTGATCTTTTTGCCTCAGCCTCACAGGGAGCTAGGATTACAGGTTTGTGAGGATGCTGGTATTATAGTTGTGCACCACAGATAAATAATGAATATTTCAGAAACAAGACTGATCATATTTGCTATATAAGAACTCAGTAAAAAAAAATGTTTGGTCTATATGACATTAAAAAAAAGGATTATCAAAAATACCCCTAAGGACTGTCAGAATGTTTTTTGCAAAATGAATGAAAAACAGGAAAAAAAAAATCTGCAAAAACTAAAAAGGATGGCAACATGTAATTTATCTTCAGCAATGAATATTTAAAACAAATCAGGCTGGGGATTTAGCTCAGCGGTTCAGTGGCCTGCCTTGCAAGCGCAAGGACCCAAGTTCAATCCCCAGGACTTAAAAAAAAAAAAAAAAAAAAAAAAAATAGAATGTTAAGACTGTGAATGTAGGGACATTCAAATAAAACTTGTATAGTGTATGTACAAAGATTTTTGTGGTAAGAGAAAATTTTCCCAAGTTTTCAAATTATAAAATTACTTTCACAAGTTAGTATGTCATTTTAGGGGGAAAAAGACCTTTAACACCTTTTCTGGAGGCTATCATAAAATCTCATGTAAAGGATCAGCATCCTACACGAGGAAGAGTTGTTGCTAGTGGCCAGATGCAATACAACAGTCTGAACTGAAAGCATGAGTTCTAGCTTGGTGAATCCATGGTAACAGACAGGAAGAATAGTGGCAATATATCAAGAACAAAATAAGCTAATTAAAAGTAAATTTTATGGATTGGTTAAATTAGAGGGCACAAACAAGCTTTTTCTAGGTCGTTCAAACACATCCTGGATCATAACATCCAAACATGAGGATGACAAACAGAAATGATAGGTCTTGGCCTGACTTGAATGTCCTGCTTTATAGGCCAGTCAAAAGTTATTCCCAGCAGGACATTGTAGGGCACACCTGTAATCCTAGCATTTAAAATGAAGCACGATTCCAAGTTGTTACCTAGGCAATTTAGCAAGAAATTATCTCAAAAGAAAAATTTAAAAAGACAGGATACAGCTCAGCAGTAGAGTTTCCCTAGGTTTGATCCCCAGCACTACCCAAAAAAAAAAAAAAAAAAGCCAAGTGTGGTGGTGCACATCTGTAATCGCTGAAATCAGGAGGCTGAAGGAGGATGATCACAAGTTCTAGGCCAGCCTGGACTGCATAGTGAAACCCTGTCTCTAAATAAATAAGTCTATCTAGATTTCAGTACCACAGTGTAACACTCTGAAAAAGTTCACCAATAGCTTAAATTAGCTCCAAAGCACATCCTAAAAATCATTCCTATAGGAAAAACCTAAGTATTTTGAATGATAAATAAAATATATGTATATTTTTTCTACAGTGAAAAGTGTTGTTCTGACATCCTAGAATCAGTGCAGAGAAGTTACCTAGTGAACTCCTATTCAACTACTAAATCCATTTAGTTACAAGTTCTTATATATAATGACAAGATTCAGTTGATGAACAGGTGTCAGTACTGCAGTGTAGCACTCTGAAAAGGCTCACTGACAGCTTAGACTAGCTCCAAAGCACATTTTACGTATATGGAAAATGAAAATGAAATGAAATATAAGTTCATTCCTACTTGAGAGGCAGTGGGAAGATTGCTTGAACCCAAAAGTTTTCTGGGTCTTTTTCCCCTGGTACTGGGGATTGAACTCAGGATCTTGTGCTTGCAAGGTAGGTGTGGCGCCACTGAGCTAAATCCCTGGCCCGAACCCAGGAATTTTTAAGACCAGTCTGGTGACACAGCAAGATGGTATGACATTTCTCTAGAATGGCTCAAGATACTGGTAAAACCGACTGGAAAGATGGTCTTTGTGGTTGCTTACCTTATGTTATCTGAACATATAAGTTAAGCATTTCCAAAAGGTTTAATCCAAGAACATTATAATCAAACTAGTTGTAAAGAGACACTATCTATGTAAGATCTGAAATCAAGTCAATGAAAAAGGCAGCGGGAAAGAGTAATTTCCCAGATGTTTTGTAATCTGCTAAATTAAAAAATCAGCTTTGGTATGAATGGCTGCTTCATGTCCACCACTGGCTGGGAGGGAGAACTGTGAATGGTGTAGTTTCAGAATGGGGATGATTCCAAGGATTTTAGGGCAGAGTGTGTCAGGTGGTCTCACTTCAAGATGCCCGGGCCTGGAGGAACAGGAAAATGGTTGGCCCCAAGACGCTGTTGGGAAGCAGCCCATTGCACCAACATGGATGGGGCACTCTGGATATTAGGACAAAGCAGCTCGTAAGAGGAAGCATCGCTGAGAAGGAGAGAGGAAAGCGAGGAATAAAAATGTGCATTCAGACAGGTTGAAAACGAAAACTATTTAAATGCAACTCATTTTCTGCTGATCAAGCATATGCACTAGGCTGGCTTTCTGAATGCTAAGGAAGTGTGGATCACCCCCATTACTGACAGAACACTGCCTCAGCCCCGCCTTGTCTCTGAAACCAACTCCTGCCCTGACTGGAGGAGGCTACAGAAACAGATCACAATGAAAATTGTTCAGCCCTGACTTCCTAGAATCAGTGCAGAGGAGTTACCTGGTGAAATGCTATTCAATCCAGTTAGTTATAAGTTCTTTTTCTTGGGGGGGTACTGGGGATCAAACTCAGGACCTTGAGCTTTCAAGGCAGGCAGTGGAACCACTGGGCTAAATCCCCGGCCCTATAAGTTCTTTTTTTTTTTTTTTGAGACAGAGTCTTGCTATATAGTTCAGGCTGTCCTTGAACTCACTATGTAGCCCTGGCTGGCCTTGAGCTCACGGCAATCCTCCTGCCTCAGCCTCCCGAGTGCCAGGATTACAGGCATGTGCCACTATGCCCTGCTTCAGCTATAAGTTCTTACATGTAATGACAATATTCAACTGATAAATGGATGATAGCTTAGACTAGCTCCAAAGCACATCTGAAAACACACTCCTATAGGAACAATATAAGCACTTCAAATAATGTACACACAAATTCCAATTGGCTCACCTGTCTCCATTAGTTGTAATTGATTCAAACTTGGATTTTTTCTTTGGGATTTCATTTTGAATTGAAGATGTAGAAAGTGTTTTCTGGCTTTTAACAGCAAAAAGAGAGACCCACATTAGAAATCAAAGATTAATAAACCATCACAATGAAAGTCAAATGGACCAATGTAAAATAGTAGCTCTTCTGTGCAAAGCTGGTATTTTCAATTATGAAAATCTACCAAGGTGTTGATTTTATAGGTCCATAATACATGGGTGAGTAGTTTCCACAGGACCAAGATTTTGGCTTTAAATAAATATTAGATGCTTTATTCATATACATGAGAACAGAACTGTTAAAACTTCAATGAGAAGTATAATCTGTCTTACACTTTTAAAAGCACTTTTCCTTTGGGCCAGGGATTTAGCTCAGTGGTTCTGGTGCCTGCCTCGCAAGCACAAGGAGCCGAGTTCGATCCCTGCTACCCAAAAAAAAAAAAAAAAAATCACTTTTCCTTTCACTGGCTCACATATATTTCTACTTTGCTTCCAGAAACTGAGTTCATCAAGGTTAACTGACCTACTCAAGGGTATACAGCTAGTTAGTAGTAAAGCTGGGACTACAAATCAGATAGACGTATTTGATTCCTGTCTTCCTCACTATGGACCTACTATAGGTATCTGAGTCCCACAATAAAATCAGCTCTTGTCCCCAGTAAGGTTACCTAAAATTGGTTTTCACAGAAAAGCTTGACGACTTCCTGGTATGTCTTCCATTTTGATGGGTACTCAGTTGTCAAGCCCAGACGGCTCCCAGACCTTTCCTTACATGACCTCTCTCCAGTATACGATTCCACCAACCACCCTTCTTGAAACTTTAGCTTTTCTTTTTTGGGGGAGTGATACTGGGAATTGAATACAGAGCCTTGTGCATGCTATGCACACGTACTATTGCTGAGCTATATCCCCAGCCCTTTTTATTCTGAGACAGGGTCTAAGTTATCCAGGATGGTCTCAAACATGATCCTCCTGTCTCAACCTCGCACACAGCTGGGATAATAGCTGCTCAGCTTTACTCCTACTTTTGTAAGAGTTATTTCTTAGTTCTTTGTCTATCTCTTAAATATTGAATGATTCCAGAGTTCTGTTCTCAGCCCCAGTCTGAGTTGTATCATCCCAAAGCATAGTTTTAATATGATATTTAACATAGTATCTCCCAATATCATTTTCATTAAAATCATCTGGGTTTAGGATACTCGGTGGTGCACTTCTGTAACCCCAGCACTCAGGCTGAGGCAGGAGGATCGCTGTTAAGTTTGAGGCCATCCTGGGCTACATAGTGAGTTCAAGGCCAGTCTGAACTACATAGCAAGACCTTGTCTCAAAAAACAAAAGCAAAAACAAAACCCAAAACTAAACAAAAAATTTGTCTGGGATGTTTGTAAAATAATCCAGATTCCTGGAATCTATCCCAGATCCTACTGAATTGAATCCTGGGACAGGGCTGTAGGAATCTACATTTTTAAATAGTATTTACTCCCAGCAATTCTTATGTGCTACCGTGGTCCACATCCCAATCTCTCTTCTGAGTCTAAGCTAAACTCTTACAATTATTCTTGGTGCTTCAAATTCAGCTTTTCAAAACTAAACCTTTTCTCTTCTCCCATTCTTTTATTCTCTTTCAGTTAAGGACCTACTAATATTCACCCAAATAAAAAACCTGGGAATTATCTTTACTCATGCAGCTCCTGCCCATTTATTTGCTTATCAAATTATCTAAATTTCTCCTAATTTTGCCTCCAAAGTATCTTCCTAAATCTGCCTCTTCAGTCTTCAATGAACCTCAGGTGAGGTTCTTATAACATCTCTTACTGGTCTTTTACCAAAAAAGCTTTTTTTTTTTTTGGTACCGGGGATCCAGCTCGAGTCTTTGTGCTTGCAAGACAAGCAGCAACACCACTGAGCTAAATTCCTGGCCCCCAAAAATCTTAATTAGCCCCAGGACCCTTTTTTTTTCCCATGCATTCTCCACTAGTCAAGTTCATTTCATCTGAATGCAGACTTCACCCCTCTCCTGAACAGATCCCTCTACAATGGCTGTCCACAAGCACAGGATCAAATTCTCACTTACCTGGTCTGCAGGACCTTTTCCTCCCACTCCTCACTGCTCAACCACAAACTCTGGCAGAGCAAATCCTCTGGTTCAGTGTGTTCTTAGACCCTCTATTGTCTTTGCAAATGCTATTCCTGCAACTGAGGGGGAAGAGCAATCCTTATCTGATGATTCTAACTTATCCTGAGATTCAGCTACACCCCAGCTCTTCTCCAAGTCTGCCTTATCTGACTTTCTAAGGCAGTTAATTACTACTTCCTCTCATGCCTGTATTTATTATTATTATTATTATTATTATTATTATTATTATTATATAGTCCAGATTGGCCTTGAACTCACTATGTATAGCTCAGGCTGGCCAGGAACTCTCAATCCTGCTGCCTCAGATGGAATTAGAGGTCTGTGCCTCTGTGCCCAGCTCTTACGCCTGTATCTCCAGGTTTCCACTGTGGTGCTCACTGTATTACTGGATGGAGGTGCAACGATGTGATTACCAATCTGTCTTCTCTACCCCACTGTATACTTAGAGAGCAGCATGACTCTTTCATTCATCTCTGTATTCCCAGTAGAGTCGCTGGGCCCTCAGAGTACGTAATAATTTGCTGAACAAACAAAGTCATAATAGTAATAATAACAAAAAATAACTACAATGTGTGAAATATTTCCTTATATGCCAGTTATAAAACTAATTACTATGCAGGTACTATATAATTTATCTTCACAACTGTATGAGGCAATACTAATATTTCCCTAATCTTACAGATAAGAAAACTTGCCCAAGATTGCCATAGAGAACTCGGCAGAGTCAGGATGCAATCCAGAGCCACAGCTTTTTTTACACTTTCTTTTTTGTGGTACTAGGGACTGAACCCAGAGCCTCACTCATACTAGCCAAGTACTCTGCCACTGAGCTACATCTCCAGTCTCACTAAGTTGGCCCAAGCTGGGCTTCAATTTGCAATCCTTCTGCTTCAGCCTCACAATTTAGCAAGACCCTGTCTCAAAATTTAAAACAGGCTGATGATGTACCTCGGTGTGAAGACCCTGTGCTCAATCCCTAATATCTCCCCCGAACCCCATACACACACAGAAAAAGAAAGGAAAAAAGTGTATCCCTCAGAAAGTGAAGTGTCCTATTTCCTAGAGATAACCCCCTCTAACGCTAAGAACACGACATGTGAAGTAGAGTAAGTGCTACAAATCAAGATTCTTATGGGTTAGGAGAGGGGAAAAAATTAGGAAAACTTCTGCATGATGGTTTTGTCCATGTCTGCCTGTGTCTCGCATCTCACCCCCCAGCACCCCAGTCTATCTCATGCACCCGAGTCACCTGTTATAATGGCTGCCGCCACTCAAGCGGCTGTACTGCTCCTTCTCCTGTTGGCCGGCCCGAGAAGAGCTGCTCAGGTGCTTCCTCTGCTCTTTGGTCTTCTGAAGGACACGTTTGTATGAAAGTGTACACAGCCAGCACAGCAATTTCCCATCTACCTGAAAGACAGGACACAAAGACAAGGAGATGTACTGGAGCAGCTGAGAATGTGGGCACTGGAGCTATAACTTCTGGGTTGAGTTCCAGCTCTGCCACTTGTGGGGTGTGTGACCGTAAGCAAGTCACAGAGGGCTGCTGCAAGGCTTTAGAGATATGATGTACATAATGTACATAAAGTACTCAGAACAGAGCATGGCACATTAAGGTTCCTTAATAATAGCAATCTTTAAGCCAGGCGTTGTGACGTATGCCTGTAACCCCAGCACTTGAGAGGCTGAGGCAGGAGGATCGCTGTGAGTTCGAGACCAGCACTATGTAGTTCTCACTATGTAGTTCAGACTGGCCCTGAACTCACTATGTAGTCCATTCTAGCCTGGAACTCATAGGGATCCTCCTGCCTCAGCCTTCTGAGTGCTACGATTACAGGTGTTTGCCACCATACCTAGCTAAAATTTTATTTTGAAACAAGGTCTCACTAGGTTGCCCAGCCTGGGCTTGAATTTGTGAGCCTTCTGCCTCAATCTTCCAAGTACAGTAGCTGAAACTACTATGGGCCTGCACCACCAAGCCTGATTATAGCCTCTAATCTTACGGATTTTTTTCTTCAACTTAACAAATACAGAGGTTCCTGTAAAAATTTCAAAAGACACAAATATAACTATGGGGTTCATTGAGGAAAACTCACAGGGGAGAAGAGAAGATACAGAAGACGAAATACAAAGTCTATACTTCACATCTTTAAAAATTTGACAAAAATTGTATAAATTTATCATGTACAACATGTTGTCTTGAAATGTATATATTGTGGAAACAGCTAAATTGAATTAATGCAGGTATTACTTCATATACTTTTTTTTTTTAAAGTTTTTTTCAGACAGGGTCTCACTATGTAGTTGAGACTGAACTGGAACTCACTATGTAGCCCAGGCTGGTCTCAAACTCACAGCAATCCTCCTGCCTCAGCCTCCCGAGAGCTGGGATTACAGGGGTGCACCACCATGCCTGGCTTCCTCATATACTTTCTTGTGAGAACACTTAAAATCTACTCTCATCAATTTTTAATACATTGCTATTAATACAATACATTGTCACCATGTTGTACAACAGATCTCTTAAAACTTCTCGCTCTTAACTGAAAATGTATATTCCATACTTGTTTTGTTTGTACTGCTGGAGATTGAACCCAGGGCTGCTCTACTACAAACCTACATCTCCAGCCCCCTCTTTATTTTATTTTTTTGGTACCGGGGATCAAACTCAGGTCCTTGAGCTTGTGAGGCAGGCAGTGGAACCACTGAGCTAAATCCCCAGCCTGCCCCTTTTTATTTTAAAAGACAAGGTCTCACTAAATTTCCCAGACTGGCCTCAAATTTTTATCTTCCTGCCTCAGCTTCCAGAGTAGCTGGGGTTACAGGTATAGACCACTGCACTCCATACTTTTTTTTTTTTTTTTTTTGCTAACCTTTATGAATTTATATTTGAGGAGAATGTAAACTTAAGTGAGGACAATATTGATAGTTTCCAATGAAATTTTTTGTTTTGTTTTGGTTTTTTGAGACAGGATCTCACCTTGTAGTTGAGACTGATCTGGAAGTCACTATGTAGCCCAGGCTGGTCTCGAACTCACAGCAATCCTCCTGCCTCAGACTCCCGAGTGCTGGGATTACAGGTGTGCACCACCATGCCCGGCTGCTTTTTGTGTGTGTGTGTGTGTGTTCATACTTGTTTTAATACCTTATAAATAGCTCACAAAATGGTACGCTGGATACCTCCGTGATCACTATGGAAAGAACATCCCAAGATGAAGACCAAGGATGAGCAGCTTTCAGGCCCCACTTCCTGGTGGCAGTCTACCATGGCAGCTGGAATTAAAGTTGATTCCTTTAAACAGAAGCAGCTGTGCACCAGGGAGCAGGGCCTGAGTGTAGGAAAGCAGAATGTGGCTTCCATGACCTGCTAACAGCCAGGGTGCCTCTGCACAGACATCAACTGTAAGACCATTTGTGGTGCAGTCTAGTACAGGTGGTAGGGCTGCAGGGCTACATTTATAGTTTACATTTCTTTTCCTGAAACTGGACTTCATGCTTCACCCTGAACATCGTAGATTGTATCATCACTATCTAAAGTGTTTTTTGGATTTGGCGGGGGGGATTTGAGACAGGGTCTCGCTATGTAGTTCAGGCTGTAGTGATATGTAGTCCACCTCAAACTCACTGTGATCCTCCTGCCTCAGCCTCTCAAGTGCTGGGATCACAGGCGTGTGCTGCCACGCTTGGCTCCTCCAATTCATGTAAGAGCAAATAGGTTGGGCTGGGGATTTAGCTCAGTGGTCCCACTGCCTGCCTCACAAGCTCACATCCCGAGTTCGATCCCCATTACCCTCCCAAAAAAAAGAGCAGATAGGTTGGCTACTAGAATTCAGAATAAAAACTGGCTGAGGGGGCAAAATACGATACTTTGTTGTTTTGATGTATGGAAGATTGGAACAATTGCTAGAATTAGAATTGAGAATACCAGAGCTAACACTCCTCCAAGTTTATTAGGAATTGAATATAGAATAGCATATGCAAATAGAAAACACGGTTTAATATATGGGGGCATATGAAAGGATTTGCAGTGTTTTTTATCTTGGCAACAAAAGTCTCTTTGTTCCCCATCCACTACCAGCCACGTCCAACCTGTGGCTGACTGTTCCTTGATTTTTATTTTGTTTTTTAAGACAGGGTCTTACTATATAGTTCAAGCAAGCCTTGAACTCCCGGCAATCCTCCTGCCTCAGCCTCCCAAGTGCTGGAATTACAGGTGTGCACCACAATGCCTGGCATCTTCTCCCTTTTAAGTCTACCATTTCTATCCTTTTGGAGCTACTCCCATCTCTCACTGCTGTAAGAGTTGCCCAGTGATTAACCTACTTTTATTCCTAGGGCCTTATAAGCTATTTCCACATAGCTGCTAAAGGAGGCTTGTTAAATGTAAAACTGATGATATCTCCTTAACACCCAAAGATTTCTCCTTGTACCTAGCATAAAATCCAAACTTTTACCATGGCCTATATGACTTAAATGTAGCCTATACATTTACTTTCTCTTCCTCATTTATTCTGTGATTTTTCTATTCTTCCCATGTACTAAATTCATTCCTGCCTTAGAGTCTTTGCATAACTAACTTGTCCTCCCGACTAAGTGGGATTACAGGATTGAACTCAGGTCCTTGCGCTTGCGAGGCAGGTGGCAGTACCATGGAGCTAAATCCCTGGCCCTGGATCCTCTATTTTGTTATAGCATTTACATCTAAAATTTGTATTTATTCATCTGTTTTTCTTCACTAACCTCTCTCACACACACATAAGCTCCATAAGTGTTCGGTCCTATTTATTTCATTAGTGTATGCATGGCTTGTGTCTAGATGTCCCTCAAAGCCTCGTGCAGTTATAGGTAGGGCTTTTTCAGAGGTGGCTGGATCTAGAGTGTGTGATGCTGGGATTACGTTTTTATGCTGGGATCGAAGGTGTGATTACTAAATTAGTCAACTGATTGGTGTGGCATAGTTCTTCCAGAGGACAACAGGAAGGCCCTTCCTGGGTGTGTGTGCTACCCACCCTAAAGGTAGGTAGCCTAGAAAGAATATAAGGGACAAAAAGAGGGCTGCTCGTTACTTCTTGCCTTGTGCCATGAACTCTGCCATGCTTCCTTGCCATGCCCCCTGCCTTGGAGCCAGTCAACTCAGAACCGAAACTTCTATAAACTGTGAACCAAATGAACCTTTCCTCCTTCAATTTTGCACACTGGGTATTTTGTCTCAGCAACAAGAAAAAAAGAAATTAAGACAGTGTATTTCCAATATCTAGAACTGAGACTTGGTTCTTGTTAATGAATATACAAATGAACTTTGAACCCAAACTTCAATCTGGTTCATGACACAGTTATGAAGTATGTCCTTATAGCCTGATTTAAAAACACCCTAGAGGACTTTGCCCAGAGAAGAGGGCAATCAAGAAAGGCTTTCAGCCAAGCATGATGGCACATGCCTGTAATCCCAGCACTTGGGAAACTGAGGCAAGAGGATCACTGTGAGCTCAAGGTCAGCCTGAGCCATGTAATAAGATAGTGCTACACAGGGAGACCCTGTCTCAAAAAACAAAATCGAAAGTTTTTAAAACAAAGCAAATAAGAGTAAGCACTGAACATGAAAACTGCACAGATCACATCACACTTTATTTCAGATCTCTGCTTTAAACTTTAAAAGATAATTCTCTGCGAATAAAACTACAAACACAATCACAGAGAACACTAAGCACTTTCGACATACGAGACTCCATTCTAAAGGACTTACACATAATAGCTCAGCCTTTCTAACAACACTGAAGTTATCCCCATTATTAATGAGGAAACTGAGGCACTGACAGATTAACTTGCCCAAAGTCTCACAGCTGATAAGTGACATGATCAAGTCTTCCACGCCTGCATTAAGTCCAGATTCACATGCCCCACCTCCCCTACCAGTACTCAGGACAGAACATAGGGCCCTGCACATACTATGCAAATTCTACCACTGAGCTACTTCTTTAGCCCTTTTAAAAATTTTATTTTGAGACAGGAATTTGCTAAACTGTCCAAGCTGATCTTGAACTTGCAATCCTCCTGCCTTAGCCTCCCAAGTAGGATTACAGCCATGCACCGTCAGGCCTGGCTCAGACCGCTGTTTAACCCACTGTTTAAAGTCAGTGCATACTTGATTAACAAGTTGCATTCTGTCAGGTGTACACATGCACCTAATATACTTTAATCACCTCATTCCTTCCTCACACCTAGTTCCCCTACTTCTGAGGGAATTCAATGTGTATAATGGATTTTGATCATATTTATGCCCCTTATTAGATCACCTACTCTTCATCCCTAAATTTAGTCCTCCTCTCAAGCTCTTGATCCTCCTGCCTCCATCTTCCAAGTACTGGGACTACACCATGAACCATCACACCGAGTTATACCACATTCTTTTATTCAACAAGTATTTATTAATAATCTACTATGTGCTAGGACACTGGAACTATAGAAGAGAACAAGATGGATAGAGTTCACTTAGCAGTGTAATAAGCAAGATAATTTTTCATAATGTTACATACTGTGAAGATAGTAAAAGAGTACTAATGATATAAAGAGTAAGTATGGGGGTTAGGGCTTTATTCAGTAGTAAAGTAGCTGCCCAGGATGCATCCCCAGCATCCTAGGTTCCCCTGGGTTCCATCTCCAGCACCATGCACACACAAACAAAGTAAATGGAAATTAGTAAAAAGTCTGTGTGAGAAGGTGGCATCTGGGTTGAGACCTGACATGAGGAGCCACATACGACACTCTGGAGAGGGGCACATCAGGCAAAAGAGAACAGTCAGCACGAGGGAGGGGGAACAAGACTGACAAGACTGGCACATCTGCAGGACTGAAAGGCAGCCATCATGGCTGAACAAGGTGAGAGGCAGGAAGCACAATGGAAGCTGAGATTGAGAGCTGGGTATGAGCCTTGCAGGCATGGACGTGGTTTGGGTTTTACGCTAAGTATAACCAGAAAACAGTGTAGGGTTTTCATCAGGACAATAATATTCTGACCAAACTCTAAATCATTTTGATTCCACCAAGGCATCACCATCCCAAATACAGCTTCCCTCTAATGTCATTTTCTTAGAATCTGAAACTTCAACAGGAAGAATTATAGAGCCAGACAGTAGTAATGGTCCACCCTATCTTGCTTAAGTCACAATCTCACCTTTATAGAATTCTACAGACATCTGTCAATTATCACTAATAATACAGTATCTGAATTGTGATGAAATCAATCAGTGTAATTTGTATTCTTATAAAATGCTGGAATATAATGGCCCATATGTTTGATAAATGAAGAAAATAAAGTCTATCTTCTTCAAAGTCAACAGCAGAATCAGGAAAGGAATTGTCTTTATATCTTTTTAACACAACAGACCTATTTTAATTTCTCTGAAAGAAAAAAAAAATCAAGAAAAACACAGAGGCTTACCTTCTTTCTATCATCTTTTCTGTCAAATGCACACTGCTGTTTGCACTGTTCACAAGAATATGGTGGTCCATACTTCTTCTCTGAATTTGTGCAGCGCTGGCATTTATTGCCAATAAATGCTGCAATTATGTTGCAATACTGACAAGGTTTAGGCTTGAAGAGGGAGATAGAGGTCAAGTAAATACATTATAAAATAGCAGTACATTTTAAAAAACAATTTCTATTGTGTCGTCCATTGGTCCTGGTAAAAATACACTGCCAATATCATAAATCTGCATTTATAAGGATCAAATGAAGCCCTCCCGCTTGAGACAAGCTCTTGCTATGTAGCCCAGGCTGGCCTCGAACTCGCAGCCACCATGCCCAGCTACCTCCAAATTTCTGAAAAGTCCTATTTGGCATTATCAGTGTATAAACATGTCAGAACTGCAAGGACATGGTGTCTTGGACCCTAATAGTAAGAGGAAAAAAATCAGTCATCAAAATAGACAGCTGTTAACCAAACAGAGGTCATGATTCTTCTTTCCCCTCTTCTTTTCACACTGGCCAATGAAGCCACTTGAAGAAAATTATAATCACAGAAGAAGAAAACTGTAATCACAGAACTCTACAATAACAAGTGCTAACTGTCTGAAAGCTGAGAAACTAGATATACTGATATAATATTCTAATAAAATTATGATAATTTTGGTCCAAAGATGAGGTGCCAAGAGAACCAAGTACTCATTGTTAGATGCAAATAAATCCAACTTACCGTTCCATACAACTGTACATTCTGAGCACATTTCTTGCATATCGTATTGGTTTTACTGTTAAAGAAGAAAAAGAGACACAGGTTTTGCTTAGGACATCTGAAAACTCATTTCTCCTTAAGCCCAAGGAACTTGTTCATTAGTGAAATATGGACTAGATTCTTGGTTAACTCAAGTCTGAGTATCTGGCCAACAATTCTTTTAATTACTATATGATTACTGATTTTGTTACTCCAAATAAAATAAGGCTTTAAGCCGGGCATGGTGGCGTATGCCTGTAATCCCAGGACTCGGGAGGCTGAGGCAGGAGGACTGCTGGGAGTTTGAGACCAGCCTGGGCTATGTAGTGAATTCCAGGTCAGACTCAACTACACAGTGAGAACCTGTCTCAAAAAAAAAAAACAAAAAAATAAAAAATAAAAAAATAAAATAAGGCTTTAGTTAAAATAGTGAGTTATTTCTGATTATGACATCTCTAAATGTCCCTATGTAAAATTATGAGATATGGAGAAGAACCTCAAAGTATCTTGTTAGACTGAATTGGACTAACAGAAAAGAAATTAATCTCTTTGCTGGACATGGTAGTGCTAGCCTGTAATTCCAGCGTTTCGGAGGCTGGGGCAAGAGGATTACCAAGAGTTCAAGGCCAGCCTGTGCTACATAATGAATTCAATGTGTGGTGATCCCAGACATAAAGCACTGAGCCTACCACGGAGCAATAGGGGCCACAGATTGCTTTTCAAAGGAGATCTAAGCCCGAGGATTAGACAAGATGAGCCAGGCTCACTCTCCCAAGCTGAAAAAAATTTATGGAGGGGAAGTTATCACTAAAAACAAAAGTTATCATTGAATTTAAATGTTGACAGGTATGTCCAAAGAATATTGTGAAGATGTGATCCCTTTATGAATAGTGTGACAGATGAATGTGGGGTAACTAATGGGCAACAGAACAAACAATATAGGAATGGTAGTAATATGAGGAAATAGTATCAACATTTTGGAAGCCTTGGAATGAGTTTAAATAATGACTGTTCAGCAGAGAAGTCCATGCCTCTCTTCAAAGTGCTAGTTATATTATGACTGAAAATTGGGTCACATACATTTTCATATTAAAAGTTTTGTTAAATACACTTTTGTAATATGAAAAAATATTTGTCACAGCATTTTTCAGACATTTTTAAAAGGTGGTACAAGAAGTGAAGTACAGAAGCTGGGAATGTAAAAAGTACACTGAAAAAAGATCTCTAGAAAGAATTAGCATCAGTTATTCTATGATGCTGGAAAGTATTTAGATTTGTACCTGGCTTCATTAGCAAAAGAATGAAGCATATGTCAATATACACCTGACACCTTAGAAAACATACAAAGAAAAATAATCACTAGGATTCATCTGCACTGTTGTGTAGTGTAAGTTAAGAGCTAAAGTGCCTGGTGCAGTGACACATCCTTGTGACCCTAGCAACTTGAAAGGCTGAGTCAGGAGGACTTCAAGTTAGAGGTCAGCCTGGACTCTTACTCAAAAAAAGGGCTAGCAATCCAGCCCAGAGCTAGAGCACTTGTGTAGTACTTGTAAGGCCTCGGGCTCAATCTCTAGTACTACTAAAAAAAGAAAATCAAAGCTCCTAGCTCACCCTATACACACACTAATTCAAGACGGATCACAGGACTAAATGTAAAAGTAAAACACAAAGCTTCTAATTATATTCTATTTAATTCCATTTATATGAAGTTCGGGAACAAACAAAACTAATCAATGGTACAAATGAAAATCAGAACAGTGGTTGCCTAGAAGGAGCAAGGAGGGTAGAGACTAATGGGGAAGGAAGACAAAAGGGCTCTAGAATGATACATTCTGTATTCTGATAAGATCTGGGGTTGAGGATAGGGTCTCGCTATGTTATTCAGGCTGGTCTTAAATGATGTAGCTCAGACTGGCCTCCAACTTCTGGTGATCCTCCTGCCTCAGCCTCCTGAGCACTGGGATTATAGATGTGTGGTATGGTGCTGGTTTATATGCAAATATTACCTTAAAAAAAGTGTAATGGTGCACACCTGTGTAACACCAGCACTTCAGAGGCTGAGGCAGGGAGATCACTGTGAGTTTGAGGCTAGCCTGTGTTACATAGTGATTTGAAGGCCAGTGTGAACTAGATAGAGACCCTACCTCAAAAAAATAAATATATAAATTAAAGCAAAGAAAGAACTGGGAAGTCTGAGTGTTTAGCTCAGGGGTATTGTGTTTACTTAGTATGAAAAGGCCCTAGGTTCACATACCAAGTTCTAACCTAGCACCACAAAAATCTTAAATTAAAAATTAAAAATCTTGGGCTGGAGATTTAGCTCAGGGGTGCTGCCACCTGCCTCAAAAGCCTAAGGACCTGAGTTCAACACTCTCCCGTGCCATACCCCCACCCAAAATAAATAAAAACGGGGATTTAGCTCAGCGATTCGGTGGCCCACCTTGCAGGCGCAAGGACCCGAGTTCAATCCCCGGTACTCAAAAAAGAAAAAAAAAAAAGTAAAAACCTTAAAAATCTTAAAGAATTGTAAACAAGTATTTAACTCTAGAAAATGTTACACATGCTAAAGAGTTTAGGGATTAGGTATACTGATGTCTGCAACTTTAAAATGCATCAGAAACAAAATAGACTGATGTAGCAACTGGCAGATGAAGAGATGTACACATGCAAATATAGTGAGACTGTATTTAAGGCTTTTGTAGGTATATGGGTGTTCACTAATTGAACCTTTTTTGTTGCTGTTTTGAAAATATCCATAATAAAATGTTGGGGGAAATATTTATAGAATTTAATTTAGGCTTATTAAAAATAGATCTAGTGTGAGCTAGCAAAAAAACTCCACCCTAGTTGAAGGCAAGATCACTTACAATCAGAAAAATTTCACCAAGGTGAACTTGCTATAGCAATAAATCACTTTGCTGCTACTGAAAATTCCCCCAAAGATGTGTGTTCACTCACACCTAAGTGTCTTCACACACTTAAACAGGAGATTCACACAAGGAAAATGCAAAGGCAAGTAAATTTTGAATGTGACTAGGGCTAACAAACCTTTTAGGATTGTCACATTTCTAAAAGTATCTTTTTTTGGCATTCTGGTTTCTTCAAGCTCTGTATATCCATACTGGAGCACGAGGTCCACATTTTACTGCTGTGGGATTTGTTTCTTAGTGTCAAAAAAATACAACCACAATATAAAATATCAAATGATCAACTGGGACAGGGATATAGCTCAGTGGTGCTGCGTTTGCCTGGCAAGTGCAAGGTCCTGAGTTGGAACCTCAGTACCAAAACAAACAAACAAAAATTTACTTAGGACCTGAAAAATTAGTAGCTTTAAAATTTTAAGCAATCAGGGGCTGGGGAATGTACTTCAGTGGTGCTTAGCATACACCAGCAGAAAAGTTCAAGCAATAAGCCTTCAAATTGAGCAGGGTGGCAAATGCCTATAATCTCAGCTACTCAGGAGACTGAGGCAGGAAGACTGCAAGTCTCAGGGCCAACCTGGGCAATTTAAGGAGAGATTCAGTCTCAAAAATAAAAGGGCTGGCAGCCAGGCCTGGTAGCCCAAATTTGTAATGCCAGTACTCTAGGAGCCCAAGGCAGGTTAAATCACAACTTTGAGTCAAATAACAACATGGCAAGCATGGGTTCAATCCTCAGTACTAGAAAAATAAATTTAAGCAATCTATGGGCAATATCTAGGGAATATGTGTATTATATGCCCTTCAGTTGTAATAGGAAACTGAAGAATCTGTGTATAAAGTAATTGACTACAGATCTGTATTTTACAACGCAACTGATTGCACATCTCTCTCTCTACGAAATGCAATCACAAACTGTAACGAGCCTATTAACATCTTTCATAGCAAACCAGAACTCTACCTCTCCTGCTGGTACTCAGTCCTGCAGTAGGTGCACTTCACAACAGGGTGTGCAATCCGACATTCCTGAAAAGAAATAATGATATCATTTTAAAAGGCATTCAAAAGTGGAAACAGCCTTCAGTAGGAAGAATAGCTAGGTACTATCCCTAGCTCAGCCACTTTGCTTGAGTCACTCATTTAACTTTCTGGGCCTTATTTTCCTCTGTAATAGCTGCATCACTGCCCAGCTGTTGGATGTGGGAGTTAAGAATTTATTTGGAACTAGTCATAAATTGTAAAACAAACAGGAACAATCCCCAGCTTGCGAATCAGATTCGAGTCTTGGCTCTGTTGGTGTGCTTGAGAACAAGTTTATTTGTGAAATGAAAGTAGATTTATTTTTTTTAAGCTAAAAAGCGCATTTAAGCACTTGCGTTCTCTTAGACCTGGGTAAACAAGAGTGTGTTCTCTCAGACCTGGTAAAAAAGAAAAGCCATGGCCCTCTGAGACACAGTAATATACAATTAAGTTACTTAAATCAGCAAACTGGATTATTTGAGGATTATCCCAACATCGCTTTCAGTGGGCTTGTTGACTTTTAATGTCTATCTTACATCAACTCCACTGAAATAGGTAAAGTGGGATGAAGGAACTTGAAGGAAAAAGAGAAGTTTGAACTTCAGGTGTAAAAATTTGGTTACAACAAGGACTGAAAGCCACCAACTGGATGCTGAAAAGTCATCCCTCAGATTTGCATTCTTGGTTGGGAGGGCTTTTTAAATAAATCCTTGCCACCTCCGATTCTGAGAAAGGCCGAAAAGTGCCCGTGAGGCGTCGGAGTTCAAGACACCGGAGTTCAAACCCAGGCGGGATAGGGGGTCCTTCGCTTGTAACATTGGCGACCGTGGCGGAAAGGAAAGCAGCTCAAACTAATTCTCCGCGATGCTGGTCAGGGGCATGCAGGGACCCGCTGCTTCCTCCCCCTACCTTACGGGGTCCGACAACAATCCCCCGCGGTTGCTAAGCACCCGGGCACGCCAGGAGCTGAGGCTCCGACTCGGTCCGGGACTC